AAAAAGAGACGTGCTAATTTTAGTACATCTCACATTCTTGTAACATGTTCTACTGAAATTGTATCATTTCCATAAAAAAGTAGAAAAAGGAACTCAATTTTATCATTTTCTATTGTAGTTTAATAGAATTACCATAATATATACAAGAGACTTGTCAAGTACAGTGCAAAAGGAAAAACTTTCTGTATTTTTTGAAAAAAAAAAATGATCAAGCAAAAGATACCGAACAAATTACTTCCAAGTATACTGAAACATTAACTACAAAGTTGACAGTAGTTCGAGCCTCGAATGTCAAGAAAAATTCATTCTAGATCTACAATTCCGAAGTTGGAGAGGAGAATTTTAACTTGATCAACGAAGTCCGAGCCAGTTGCATACTCTGTCAACATTCCCACGGCAAAACCAAACATTGCCCATCTGTTCAACCAATATTGGACACACATAAACCATGTTATACGACATGAATACAGAGCCAAGATAAATCAAGAACAGACTAATAGTTGTGTCCGGTGAAGAATAACATGAATGCCTTCATACGAAGCCATGTTTGACACGCAGTATTGCACACAATTAGACAATAGCTTTTTCCTTTTTTTTTCCCCCTTATTTAACAGTGAGAGTATTAAGCATGAATTTCGAATGTAAAGCATTAAGGCCACGAAGGAATGAGCTAAGGTGATTCTTTCTTCTGTCTATTTCTCTTTTTTCTTATGATCTCAAGTTAGTTGTTTCTCAACTCACTTGAAGAAGGGCAAAAAAAAAAAAAGAAGGTTAGTTCTGTTTCTTCACCGAGTTACGAACTTTTTTTGATAAATCTCGTTTTTGTCATTGGCAAATGGCAGATCACTCGAAACTTTCTATTAAGGAGAAGAGAACCATCTATGCATAAGTGGATCGGCACTATCTATTATTCATGTATTTTTATACTTGGACAAGCTATAGAAACTTGTAGACACGGTCGAGAATATGTATTTCTGTTCACTACGAAGAAGTCAACTCTAGTAGAACTTTTCTAATGTTTACCTCTTATGGTTTATATGCCTCTTTATCATGCTAGGTTTTGGTCATACTGAGAATTTACATTGTTATAGTAATAGGAAGTCAATTCCAAGAAACAGAAGATAAAGGCAGCACGTAGAGCACCATTTCTGCAGTTAGTTTAGGCTACATAAAGAGACTCAAACTAACCAACAACCTAAGCGTGATTTCAACAAAGAATAAAATTTCATATGGCACACAAACCAAAAATGTTTTTAATTTCATATCTGCAAGAGTAAAAAGGCAATGATACTGATGGTGAAATCATCTTGAGATTAATTTTCTCTTTAATCTCGTGAGAGTACAATAAGACACAGGTATCCCCTCTACTATTCTATAAAAGCTAGGTAGAATGAATCTTATTTGATTGAAAGACACTGGCATTCTTGTCTTATTTTGTTCCACGACAATGCTGTGCTTACCAATTTGATAACATTATTAGGTTCCGAACTTAGAACTTTACAGTTATTATTTTTAACTCCACTGACATTGATTGCTACCAAAGTTGATGACATGTTTATTCTTAATACCACTGTCTCCCTCACCCTTTGTCCAAGTCTCAAATGAAACACAGTTTGTCTTCAAATTCCTTCCCATCGAACTTATCTAATTTAATGTCTTCCACTTTTATGCAGAACTAACCAAACAATCAAGTATAATTATGAAACTATGAAGATTATATAAAATGAGTTTTACAGTTTTTGGAATGGTCTTGTCCATAGGGAGAATGGAAAAGCATTGGTGAAATGTGTTAGAGACAATGGCATTACCTCTTGTCTAGAAATTGAACCATTCTTTTTCTGAGTACTTTCCTATACATTATTCAAATAATTTCTTATTTATAGAACTTAAGATGGGATAGTGTAATCATGAAAAGAAGCGTGTGGTTGGACAAGGTTTTAAGAAAATTTGTGTCCAATTAAGAGTTATCCTACTCAAAACACTGGATAGATGTAATGAACAAGTAAGGTACCCAATATCACAAAATCACAACATTTGCAAATAAGCAATTGGTTGTGCTCAAGCAAGAAATCAAAAGCAACACATGTATAAAAGCCTTAAAGAGTTGTGACCTTTTCACACAGGCAAAATTTAGGAATGACGCAACCATTCATGTGGGGTTATGATTCTACAAAGAAATATATATCCCAACCATTCCAACACTACAATTAAAATTGAACATAAATAGGCACAATCTCAATCATCCTAAGAACAAAAATAACTCCCCAGTTTCAAGTCTCTTTAATATGTTTGTTCATGATCATTGATCACCATTCTAACAACAAATTCACACGACTCCAAGTATTTCTTCAATATAGGCCTATATAAGTTCACAGTCAATATATACATTAATAAATATTAAAATCCTTGTTGTATTGCATATAGAAGAAGCTTAAGCATTAACAAGTGCATGAGGCTATTATGGAGCACATATAGCACTACTTAGCTATCAGACCTCAATGTTTTCCAAGTAGTGAACCAACAATTTCCTGTGTAATTTAATTGAAGAGTGAAAGCAGAATGATGATCACAAAGATTTTGCCAAATGCAAATATTAAAGGCTCGTTAGAACCATTGTATAACCACTAACCAGTATAGGTTTCATTTAGCAAGGGCTTCTGACTTAGCTAATACAGTAAATGTTTGTAGCCCGAAACAACTAAGGAGTTGGGATCATTTGGAAATCAAGTCTAGAGCAAAGTCTATTGGGCACCAAGAATATATGATTTCCAACAAGTAACATGGGGGTGAATAATTTTCATCTCAATTATATATCTTCAATTCATTATTCAATAACTAAATTTCTATCAAGATTCAGTAATCCGAATTATATTTAGCCCTTATTTGGGCTCCATTTTAACCAGGTTTTGGGAAAAATGTATTTTGGAATAGCAAAATTTATTTATTTTTATTTTTATTTTTTGATGAGAAGGAGTGGATAAAAAGGAAGGAAAAGAAAGAGAAAAATGTATTAAAATTAAAATGGAGCACAAACAGGGGCTTAATATATATGGGTCCTAATCCAATTCCACAAAATATGATCATGAAAATTGAAAAATAAGCAGAGAGAGAAGATTATTACCTGCCATTGGAAATTTCATTTTTGCCAATGAACCCAAAGAAAGGACCCTGATCAGCTTCTTCAAGCTTCTTCTTCTTGAAGTACTCTTGCAGCTCCTTAGCCTTCTGTCTCTGAAACTCCAAAGTAATCACATTCTTATCCACCACCGCCACTCGTGCACTTGGAGTAGGCGAAGGAGGAGGAGAAGTGACCGGAGATGGCGAAATTGGTGCAGATGGTGGAACTGGCTTTACAGGTGGAGGAGCCACCGGTCTTCTAAAAGGGCCTTCAGATTGAGAGTTCCTGATGGTAAAAATGGTTGTAGGATTGGGTGCAGAGAATCTAAAAGCGGATGATGAAGATGAACAAGGTGAAGATGAAGAAGATGATAAAGGATTGCGAAATTTGAAGCATGGGAAAGAAGGTGATGATGATACTGACATTTTTTCTGTGTATAATTCTGTAATAGTTTTATTGATGATTTATTTTCTATGGTGGGAGAGCGAAGAAATGGCAGAGAAGATTGGGTTGGTGGATTTGAGAATTTGCTGATTATTTGCGTGTGGATGAGACATGGCCAAGTTTGTGTGCAACGGTGGTTAGTCTACCGGCCACGTAAAGAGCAAACTCATAATCAATTATAATTTTTGACAAACATGTAATCAATTACATCTCCACGCTTTTATCAAAGAAAAAAAAAATAGTGACACTTGATTTAAAACCTTTTGCACCACCACGTTTAAGCACTTTAACCCAACTGTTTGGACTTCATACTTAAGGATTTCCGTAAACGTTTTACAGCATGTCAATTTATCGCTGTACCACATTATTAAAGAGTTAAAAACGTACATTTTAATTATAATTCTCGATTTTCATGTCTAGGTGTCGCGTAGCGATTAGGACGCATATAAAATAACATGATTTTCAGTACTTCCAATCAAGACAAGCGAGACGTGATTGAAGAAGAAATACATGTCTTATATAGATTGTGCTTGTACTTGTGTTAATTGCCATGTTACTTGTTTCAATTGGATTTTTGTAGGTTGAAAGCAGAAGCAGCAGGCAGCCACGGATTCTCCGTAGTGCTTTTCTGTAGAGAAGATAGCCATTGTTATCTTAGGTTCTTAAATAGTCGTGTCAGTCGGCTATGCTGGTTTGCGCGCCATAATACCAAGCCTGGCACGGCCTGTCTCATGCCTGGGTCCAAGCTCTTTCCAGGCCAGGCTGGACCTGGGCGAACCAATCCACGTTGATACCAGAACATGTAAATCACTACATCAAAGTGTCCAATCCTTTACATGGTAGAGAGAACTTCACCTAAGAGCACGTGGTCATTGAAAAATACAGAAGTAAAAGTAAAAACTAAAAACAAAAGCAGCAGGTCACTTCCCGGCATAGCTAAATATAGACTTGCAAAAACAGTAATTTTCCAGTCAATAAGTAATATGTGTTTGATTAATACACACTGGCAATCCTGTAAAGATAAAAGTACTGTTAGTTGCAACCTACAGGTAACTTCTGCCTTTCATAGTAAATAAGTCCACAGGAGCTACACATTGGTTTTGGGTTACAATCCTACTCCATATTGACATCTGCAACTTACAGAATGATAATTCGATTCAGCCTCCAAGCAGAAGAAATGACAGAATATTTCAAATCAAGATGAGAAAAATAGACGAAAATGAAATTCAAGCAAGAATATAAATGCAAAAGATCAATCAACAAATGCCAGGGAGGGATATAATCTCTGTTCTTGGGCCCCCATAAATTCCTGTGTTGCTCCAATTGCAATGCAAAGCACTGGTAAATAGATCTTCACACAGTGGAATTTTGAGCAACATTTCATTCGTTGCCTTCTTAAAGATGCCAAGCCCATAAGATGTCCTAATAGAAACCCAAACTACATTATCCTGCATGAACAACTCCTTTCATTCCCATGGTCAAATTCACTATCATCATCACTGCAATCACACGGAATGTACAAATTAACATATCAGAAAAGAGCATTCATGTAAATAAGTAGATCTTTTAAGAAAATCGCAAACATTAGTCACTGCACATAAACAGTACACATCTCCATGAAAGTAGATTTGAAAGGCGTGAACAAACATTAGTCAATAGTAATTGCACATAAAGTAGTATGGGCTTAACTGAAAATACAGATGCTAAAAATTGAAGAAGGGTCAATTATATCATTAACTCCTATATACAAAATATTATGAGGAATGATGAGCACGGGCTGTGGAAATCAAATGACAAAACTACGTCCTTGTTTGAGCCTCATTTTTTGTAAAAATAGATTTTGTAACAGTAATTTTTTGGAGCATGCGTGGTTAAAAAGTACAAAAACGTTTTGAGTTATGTGAGTCATTTTATTGGAAGAATGTGTAGTTAAAAATGAGTTGGGAAAAAATGAGTTTTTAAAAAATGGGGCTCAAACAAGGGCATAACATGAGCATAAACATTAACCTGATGCAGCACATTTCCAATCAAATAAGATAAATTTATCAACTAACTTTTGAACACCAACAAAAAGGGTTACAAAACAAATGGAACACTATTGATCAGGATGGTAGCTGCACATTAGCAAAGCATCTAACTCAACACTGACATCAAATAAGAGGACCCAAAAGTTTGGCACACTAATTTTGGATGCTGATGCCGATATTGACCAATATACATTTGATAACAGGAATTACAAAGTACATAGACACAAGTGATGCAGCCTTATCCCTAGTTTTAATCGATTTCTCTATTTTGCCAGATACAAGGCAAATTCCTTAGTAGAATCTTGATAATTTAATAGCCGATAAATTAATAACTTCGATTAAATTATATTTTTGGCATGTCCTAACTTGGGGATAATGTACTAAATTAATAATTCGATAAATTTATAAGATAACACATTAACAAAATTCTTATAAATCCCATGTAATATAAATTAATAATTTCATGGTACATAGTGCTTATGATTTGACTATGAGGCATTTTAAAATTTTTTTTTTATAGCCGTGGATGTCTGGACCAGCTTGCGCGCACCTCGACTAATCCCACAAGACCCTGAAATTTACGGCCGGGTACTCACCTCAACGACCCTGAGAGGACTCGAACTGGTAAGGCATTTTTAAAATATGACTCAATCATTGTTTGTCTCTTCTTGAAATTGACGTCACATTTGACCATATCTAACTTTTCTTAAAAACTAGTAAGAACGCGTGGTGCATGTCATCACTGCTCTGAGAGCTTCTTTTCGTGAAATTGGCTTCCATAGTAGAACTATCATCTTTAACTTCACCATCTTCATAATTTTCCATGATACTTTCATATGTTCAGTCAACATTTCTACAAGCGGAATAACTTGACAAGTTAAAAAGTTATTGATTAATCGATAAACTAATAGATTACTAATTTATCGATTAAATATTCGCTAAATTAATAGATTTTATTTGGTCCTAAGGCAATTAATTAATGAGGTTTAATGGTAACTCAATAGATTATTCAATCGTTTGAAAGACCTTGTTTACCACAAAGCCTATATGATTGGCCCCCCATTTTTTCAAAAACTCATTTTCAATCACACATTCTTCTATAAAATCATTTTACACGTAAATCAAAAACTTTCCCTTATTTTTAACCACACATTCTCTGACAAAACACTATTCCAAAATGCATTCTGGCCCAAAGATGGGGCCTAAACAAGGGCTAAGCTTCATTCTTTACAAGTATTATTACTCATTCACATTACTTCATTCTTATCAGAACATTCACAGGCCTCAATTTAACATGCCAAATTCTAAACTTCTTCTAATTGATGTCCTATAGGTGTTATTTTATCATATCACAAGTTCATGTCTACATTAATTTTATCGAGTTTTTTAATCCTATCATTTATAGATTTCCAGCATCCTCGTGCTTACTATAACTATTTTCTTCATAATCTAGTACCTTGTGTGGCAAACCATAACTGGCCAAACACAGCCTGACATATCTAAATTAATACCCCAATAACTAATAACCTCTTACATTTAACAAAAAATGCCTGAAAACAACTGCACTCTATAGGCATAATTTGATATTTTTGCTATCTAATAATTAATAAAAAACACCAAAGAAAATAATTAACAAAATCACGTTCCTTAGATAACCATATATCTAGTATGCAACTATTCTTTTATGCTTCGCTGTGAGATCATTTGAGGCCATGCTTTCATATAGTTGGCGCTTAGCAAGGATGTTGTTGATGGTTCTGTGTTAGGACATTTGAAAGTTGAAATTGCTCCATTGCCAATTTGACAAGGGTGGACTGTGTGATGGAGGGATTCCTTGCTTTGTGCAAAAATTGTACGTCTTTGAGCATTGTTGAGTGAAGAAGAAGGTTTCATTTTGGGAAGATGACTAGGTATAATTGGGGTAGATGAAGTTTAGAATAAACTTCCGCTATTCCAGATTTTATAGATTCAACTTTTTGTTGATGTTGGTCTTTTCATATTTGTTGCATATAATTTTTTTATTGGAGATAGGTACCATTCTTGCATTTAATTTTTTATTGAAGATGCATAACAAGCTCATTGTTATCTTACAAATAATGAATATATAAGATTAAATTATCATTGATGAAGTCTTTTTAACTACCAAAAGTAGGGATGTCAATGGATTGTATTTTGATATGAATCTTATCCAAATCCAATGAAATTAATGACAAATGGATTTAGGATCTCAATCAGATAACCTGATCAAAATCTGAATTCGATAATACGTTAACTTAATGGAACAAATATGGATATAGATCAATCCAATCCGATAACAATCCGATCCGATTTGTTATGACAATATAATATATTTTGTATATTACTGCATAATCTATTACACTTAATTTTTTTAATTTTGAAACTTGTGTTATACTTCATGACTTTTAATGAAGAATGTCAGACCTATCAAATTTCAATATAAAATTAAATATATTATAATAAATTTTGTATGGAGATTGAGAATCTCCTCTTTCCAATAAAAAAAAAGAATATGCAAAATATTTCGATCGGATTATTGGATCGGATATCCAATAACATAACAAATCGGATATGGATTTAGCCATCAAATATCCGTTGGATTATCGGATCGGATCGGATATATGCAGATCCGATCCATATCCGATCCATTTGAAACATAACAAATCGGATATGGATTTAACAATCAAATATCCGTTGAATTATCGAATCGGATATGGGCAGATCCAGTCCATATTCGATCTATTTACAACCCTACCTAGTAGTATGTAGTGACATTAAGAAATTTACATAAAATATTTTTTTAAAGGATATGTTCTATCAATCAATAATTTTTGCTAATTAATAAACTACTGCGCAACGGATCTTATTAATTTAGAGAGGTCGGACTCTAGAATTACATAGAAGTGGCTACACAAAAATGTGATGGAGAAGTGGCTCTTCTTCTTCAGTTGCCGCCTCTTCTGCTCTTCTTCGATTCTCATCTTCTACTGAACACTCCCTTGGATCCTACATCAGCTTTACAATCCCCAAACAGCTCTTATGTAAAATTTTGAATACTTAGCATAATAACAAGACTGACAAGACCCTAAAGACAGCATTCAACCATTGTTAATATGATCTCTAAAAATTGTCATTGTTAATCACAAATTCTGAACACTACTAATTTCCCCCAACCCCAAAAAGGCTTTAAAAAAAAAAAGCAGGAACCTCAAACCAAATTTATCAAAGCTTCTTGCTTTGATAAGACAGATTTTATGTGTCTTCAGGTGTCAAACTACAACTTAGCCTCCCAAAATTTCAAGCTATCTATATTTTGAAGCTATAAACTATTAAACCAACTTCAATTCGTACAGAAAAAACAAGAGAAATAATGACCAGTCAAGTTACAACTAGAACATGTATATGGCATATAACGAGTGGCATTACTCATTGCAACATTTTTGGGCTGCCATGACAAGAAGTTCAAATTTGGCATAAGATGATCTATGACGAACAACCATTGCCATCAACAATTGATAACTTCACAGACACGCTTATGTTAACAATACTGTAAGCTCTTTATTATGTGACCTTATTTATCTAGCCAATAAAAAGATATGGTATGACATATCAGATAAAATGCAATTCATTACTGCAGGAAAGGAAAAGTCTAGATCGCCATGTTCACATTTCCGGGCATGCATATGTGCGGAAAACATGAAAATAGAACCGCACTGCTCAAGAAAGAAACAATGGGCCAAAGGATATACTTGAGTCAGATTGTTAATATAAAAATGAAGCATCTGAAGCTCTCTCACCTCATCTCAAATTCCTGGATCTCGTAAAGTTCCCCTCCAGATGTGTCTGTCCACTGCACTTTCCTCCTTTCCATTTGACTATCAACTGTTTTATGCTTTTCAAATGATTCTTCATGTTCACCACCACCACCACAAGTAGTGGAAGGTTGAATGTCATTTAATGGTTTCTTTAAGCTACTCTTGAGACTAATCTTTCTATTCTTGTCGTCATCAACAACAAGATCAGCTGAATTGGTTTCACCCTTACTCTCATCAAAAACAAGAGGCTTGGGCAAGACTTCTTGTTGTTGGCTAGGGCCCACTTTCAGAGGGGACGGGCTCTCAAGTCCTGCGGCAGTGCGACCAAAGCACACAAAGGAGGCACACCCGCAGACAGCCGCATTCTTTGTGGAAGCCAGCTGGAGATCAGGATCCGTTCCTTGGTCCACCAACTGGTACTGATTCCACGGCGTCACTCTCATGGGTTTCTCTTCTTTCCTCTGACCCAAAAAAAGAAGGGTTAGGCCCTTACTGTATCCAGAAGCTGAAGATGAGAAAAATCCTCCTCCTTCCACTGCCAATAACATCAGTTCTTCTCATCTGGGCACCACTCAATTACTTTTTTTACAGTATAATCGCCTCAAATCAAACTAATTTACCTGCCACATGAACACTTCAAAACATAAAACAAAACAAATTTTCCGCAGTTTTCTGTACAACTAAACAAAATTATCGAGTTTCTGATTAAATATTAGAGATTAGAGACGGGTCTGAGACCAGATAATTGGTAGTGCGGAATAGATATATACCCCAACATGATTATTATCAAAACAATTGCGGAAAGTGCCAGTTCTACTTCATTCGCTTGGATTTTCTCCCCGATATTTATTAACAAAACCACTTTAATTTAACATTACGTTAAGATCAATCAAACAAGCATTTCAAAAAATAACATAGGAAAAGGGGAAAAATACTCTCAGATTCAACTACAAAGGTTATTGTCGTTGGAAATTGACAGCAACAACCTTCCCTTCAAACACATGGAATGATATATTAAAGAATAAACAACACTTTTGAAATAAAATTCGCCATATATTTACTGTGGCAGCAACTACAAAGTCGAAGATCTCTTCACTATGAAACAGGCAGGAAGCAATAGCAACACATATATATATGCATATAGTTCACATTAGTATGTAGATGATATACATAAACATATATATACAGAACAAGACACTAACAGAGATCTCCAGCGACGATTCACCGGACCGGCGACGCATCACCGACTGCCCACAAAATCTTGAATAAACGTATAAAAACAGTGTAAACCAATTGTTTGAAAACTTGAAAGAAAATGATTTCTGGTTACCTATATACGCAAAGTCACCAAGACACGGACAGAATTTACGAGGGTGATGAAATGGAATGAGTGAAAAATTGTTATTACTAATTGAAGGAAAGATAGGGGAGAGTGAACCTGTGGCGCATGATAGTGGGTCCATCGATTTTTTTCTTTTATTATTAATCATTATATTATTAAAATGTCTTGGATAAGCAGGCTGATGTGGACGTTAAGAAGGTGTCAATTTGTTGCCACACACACTTATTCTTAACCCGTAAATTAGTATGAATAATTAATTTTAATCACATATTTTATGAAATTTATAATTTTCAATCATATATTTCATTATTTTTTTTATCAAAATCTGCTAAAAAATTATTTTAAATCCTGACCAAGCAAAGATATAATAACATTATGTAATAACTTGTAGTAGTGATGTATATAATTGCTCGTAAGTTTACGATTTCATATATTGATTCATATATGTATTTGGTGGGAATTAAAATTAGATTTTTAGTAGATTGTGATGGAAGTTTTTGAAATGTTTAGTCGAACGGTTGTGGGATCCAGGAAAGATGTGGTTAATATTGATTGTTTGACTTTGACTTTGACTTGGATTAAAATCAGATTTTAATCCAGACCAAACATGTCATAATTTCAAGTGTCTTGTGTTATTCAGATTTGAATGTAAATTAGTAATGTTTCTGTATATCTCTACATTATCAACTTTTGAAAAAAGGAGTGAGTTATGGGGTAATTAGAGGAGAAAGGTTGCTTTTGTTTTGTTGTCTGCAGCTGCTTTACCTTTAGGGACACCTTCGCTGCTTTTGTTGTAGTCTCTTCTTGCAATGATATTCATATATACCTTGTACACACGTTTATGTTGTTTGGCTTAGGATCTTATGATATAAATTAAAGTCAAATTTACTTATAATTATTATTTTTTTAGTGTTACACGCTAGTAATCTACATGCCTTCCTCCGTATGGCATGATGGGCCAGTTGAGATGGGAATCAAGTCGACACTAGTTACTTTTATCCCTCGTTATGATTGCGTGGTAAATGTGTAATATCCAATCAGTTGTATTCTCGGGCAATCACGACTCTACAAATATATTTACATTGATATGAAGTACATAGACTAAACGATAAGAGTGTGTTTGATGCACATTTTTTAGGAGAGAATGCATTTTTTTGTGATGTGACAGTGAATACGTAGTTGAAAAAGAAGGAAAAATTATTGATGTGATGAAAAAATATTATTTTATTGAAGAATATGTGGTTGCAAACGAGTAGAAAAATGAGAATGAAAATGAAAATGCGGCTCAAACAGGGGTTAAATATAAAATATCCAATCAATTATATGGCCAGGCAATCACGACTTTACAAATATATTTATATTGATGTGAAGTACATAAACTAGGAGACTCTATTAACAAATTTAACTTTATATGAAGTATAGGGGTCGAGAGGTTTGGCAAGTAGATAGGATTGGCCTACGTGCTGCAGGAATACCGATTGCCTAATAAGTGTGAATAGAGTCTATGCCAAGTAGCTAGCTAGCTAGTTAGCTAGCATTGAAAGAAAAAAACAAGAAGACAATTCATTTATTCATTTACAAAGAAGGGCAACCTCAAATGCCAAGTCCAACATGTTAAGTGATATATATCTCACATCGATAAATGATGATGACACAAATCAGTTAATAAAGATTTTGAGCTACTCCTCTTAAAAAGGTTGACCTTTTAAGATGGAATCCTAATTCTTAACACGGTATCAGAGCCTATTATACTCCAACGAGCGATTCGATCCCGTTACGATTCCAAAAAGTGAGCACGTGGATTTCAAGATTGGTCTGCTCAAATGAGCCACCATCTTGCGGGGGCGTGTTAAGGGATATATATCCCATATCGATAAATGATGTTGACATATCCCAATTAATAAAGATTTTGAGCTATTCCTCCTAACAAGATTGACATTTTAAGATGGAACTCTAATTCTTAACACATGATATTTCATTGTAACGATTAGATAGNTTAACACAACCACTCTTATCTCCTTTCCATTATACGATATTAGGCAAAAAAGATGACGAAGAAATGTTTACGTCTTTACTTGGCCAAAACTCTATATATTTTTTTTTATTACATCTCGAGTGTTGGAGCATTATGACTATTATAATTCCCTTGTTCAACAATGGAACACATAATTTTTTTGCTAGAGTGCGTGTTTTTTAATCATTGACTTCAATTTTCTGGTTACCATTAGATTTGACTAATTTATAATGTCCCGAATACTTAAATAGGTGACAAGGTGAGATAATGTCCACATCTTGCAAATATTATATAAAATTTCAACTATAAAATCTAAAAGAAACAATATTACAATTAATTTCCTCTTAGAGAAACAATATTATACACAAGTGACGTGTATACTGAAAATCTAAAAGTTTCTTTCCAGCAAATATTCATTTTTTGTTAATACAGAAAAAATTAGGAAGGGCAAGTGGGTTTGACAATTTTCTTCCGAAAAGTTATTAAACTAACTAGGATGAAAATGTGGTGAGTTTGGGGCGGGATCTCGTTCGTCATTTCTATTCTCCACACCGTCCTCTTCGCAACTTGGGTCGGAGTTGAGGGACTTCTATCCCTTTTAATATATTTTTTATTTTTAAATATTAATTAAGTTAAATATTACGAATTATTATATTATATAAATTAAATTAAACTAAATTATGGTTATGAATTATTAATAAGAGTGATAGATTTTTGATGTGAGAAGTGATGAAACTACTGATAATTGTACTGTCTCCAAACAATAAAGGCATGAAAATGATCATAGGCCGAAATCATTAAGTAAACGTGGTGAAGGAGAAGTCTATAAATGGAATAGTGAACCACCTAATTATTAATAGATAATTGACTTTACATTTTCATTTGGGATATATTTTAATGTTTAGCCCATTAATATATTTTTTAGGGATAATTGTAGCAAAAACTCCAAACATTTGAAATATTAGCAGAGATTTCTCAAACTTTTGATTTGTTGTATCCGTCACCCCTAACATTTCCAACCATTGCATGTGAGGCTCTTTTGGATGGTTTCCATCAATTTTTCTGTTAGTTGACCAAAAAAAATGAATTTTGACCAATTTTAGTAAGGGCAAAATGATAACTTTGCATTTTATATTTTTCCAAATATTATTAACAATTAAACTAAACAAAAAAAAAATATGCCCCACCCACCTCCACCTTCACGCTATCTTCACCTTCAACTACGGCATCAACTCCAACCAACCACTACCCATACCGTCGGACATACATACCACTAGAAAGCTCTCATCACCCTCTACAACTTCCACCCAACACCCTGCCTCGAACCCATTTGAACTTGTCAAAAAATTGAGCCAAAACAGCTTGCTCAAGTCCCAAAAAAAAGGGCCGAAATCTCCAATTCCGGCAACACCCATGTCATGCCCAACATTCCAGGTAATTATACACATCAAAGAGCCCCTGTCCATGGTCATCAATCATCCTTAAAACTCACAGAAACTACATCTTTGAACGCAGTCACTGCATGACTTTCAGATGGCTTTTCGGCACCGGTGGTGCGACCTGTGATTGCAGACAACCACCACATGTACCTACTCTTCATGGTGCGTCCAATGAACATATGGGTCTTCTCCAATTTGACCTAAATAGATACCCAGAGGATGTCGGCACAGAGGAGGATGCCGACCGTTTTTCTTTTTCTTTTTTAAATTTTATATTTAATTATCCTTTTATTTAATTATTTTATTGATGTTTCTAATTCCAGAAATTTGATTTTATTTTCTTTAAAAAACTTTACATTTGGTAGTGGCACTTCTAACTTAGATTTAATTATGAAAGCTGAACTAATAGAGTATGAATATTACCAGTAGAAACAAAATTTATTTATTAATATTTTTGACTATTTGAGACTCATTCTTTTATTTAATTACTTCCTTTAGATTCAATGTGTAGGACAATTTATCAAAAATTAAAAAGTGCTCATTCTTATCCATAACCATAATAAAGAACTTTCACATGACCATGTAAACTATATTATGTTATACTTTTTCCTTTTCCTTTTTAAAATTACCCTTCCCTCTCGACGTTTTATTAATATATACTAAAATTGTTAGGTTATGAATTGGGGAAATCAATATCTTAAAAGTTGGTCGTTGAATTGGTACAAAGCTCACTCGAATTGGTTGATGGATTAG